CAACCGAACAACAGGCCACCATTGCAGTGTTCGAGGTATTGGTGCAAACATGAGGTGCCACCATAATCATCGTCATTATCATCATCATCTTCTTCTTCTTCACTATCGGCGGCATCAACATTGTGATGTTGGTGCTGTCGTGGGTCTTGCCGCTCGAGCATAGCTCCAGATGATGGCCTTTTGTGCCACGCTGACAATTGTACATATAAAATCTGGTTGAGAGACCTATATCCGGCGAATATGGGTTTGGAATGCTGCAGGTCCACAACTTTGCGTTGGCACTTGTTTCAGTTATGCACAACTTCAGCCTTCGTGGCTGCCTTTGTTTCTGGAGAAGAGAGAGAGCCCGGGAATTAACGATATGTTATGAAGAGCCCGGAGATGTCCAGGAGATGGAAGCGGCCCTTCAGATGTGGAGTGGCCCCTCTGACAATCCCGAGGACCGAAACGTCCAGCAGGACGTAAGCACAGTAGTTGTGGAATTGGGTGGTGTTTCGTGAGTGCATCAACCTGAGAGCCATCCGCATTTGCAGAGCTCAGGAACCGTTGTAAGCCTGCAGAGCCGAGCAGCGTTCGGGATATCAGGAGGAATGTGCAGTGTGCTTGCTGGCCAGCTCCATGCCCCTCCAACTGCCTTGCGGACACAGCTTCTGCGGTGAGTGTGTGGAGCCCTGGCTGCGGCGTTGTGGCTCCGTTGCAACAGACCGGGTTGCACAGCTTTCCAGTCACAGTATCCTGTAAATTGATGATATTCCGAGTTCCGACTAGTTGACTAGTCAATCTTCGAAGTCAGGAAAGAGTTCAGTTTGGACATGTACCCGCACCCACACACGTCATGTTCACAGTCTACGTGCATGTGCATAGAAAACGTGATGGACAAGTCAAGCCACAATTTGAAGTTGAAGGGTCCCAGTCAATTCTAGTTTTTGCGCCGCGGCTGAAGCGAGCAGTACATCTATGAGTTCTGCATTAATTAGGCCTGCAGCAAGCACCTGAGTAGAGACTGTGTCCCCGCTTGAGACTTGAACTTTGCGCTTGATTCTTTGCCTAGAGCCATGTCACGAAAGCTAGCCTCCGTAGCTAGCTGAGTTCCTTACCAACCGAAAGGTTGCATCTAGGGGTGTGGGGAAGGGCCCCCGGCCAGGTGGGCATTTTTTGCGCGTATTCGGGGCTATCCCCCACCTGGTGCTGGTTTTCGGCGTTGCCCCGCCGGGTCCGTTTTGGGGTGTTTGAATGTGGTGCTTCGGACCGCTTCCGAGTGGAAAAACGGCTCCCCGATGATGCTCATGATGCGCGTTTGTTGGCCCCAAGAAGCTCCCAATGATGCTCGTGATGCGGGCTTGTGGCTCGGATTGGGCTCCAATGATGTTCGCGATGTGCGCTTACTGGCTCCGATGCTTATGATGCTTGCAGCTCATGATGCTCACGCGTCGCCTACTTGTTCTATGTTGGGCACCCGACCTGAAGCCATTGGCTTCTAAGCATGATATACACATGTATTTATGGTATGTTTGTGTATATGTACATATAGATAAATATACGTGTGCATGAAGCTCTGATCCAACCTCTTCCATATACTGTGTTTCTACCATTTCCGCTGTTCTATGTTGGGCGCCCGACCTGAAGCCATTGGCTTCTAGGCATGATATACACATGTATTTATGGTATGTTTGTGTATATGTACATATATATATATATACATATATATATATATATATATATATACGTGTGCATGAAGCTCTGATCCAACCTCTTCCATATACTGTTTTTTACTATTTCCGCGCTTGTTGGCTCGGATTGGGATCCAAGAGGCCCCCAGTGATGTTCACGATGTGGCTTGCTGGCTCCGCTCACGCGTCGCGTACTTGTTCTATGTTGGGCGCCCGACCTGAAGCCATTGGCTTCTAGGCATATATAACATGTATTTATCTTAGTTCTCCAATACAAAACGTTTAAACTTTTGGGGTTCTTATAGTTTAGCAGTAGTTTGAAAGTTTAACCTTTTATTTCTGTGGCTATTGGGGGAGTAAGTTATGGTATGTTATTGTATATGTACATATATATATATATATATATGTGTGTGTGTGTGTGCATGAAGCTCTGATCCAACCTCTTCCATATACTGTTTTTCTACCATTTCATAATTTCATACTATACTAGTACTCGAATACACAGTCATATGTAATAGCAGCTGCATCTCGACGAACAAGAAGCGCAAGCAGAGCATGGCTTGGCCCGGTGGGTGTCACCCACATTGAGGGGGATGGTATTGGTGCTCATTCGAGGGGTTCAAGAGTTAGGGTTTCTGTATTTGGAGTTCAGTAGGCGTGTATGCATGCTTGCCTTCACTGGAAAAGCCTCGGTTGTTGACGCTTCTAGCTTTCGTCCCAGTCCCTCCTCCGCAAGTGTTCGCATACGGCGTAGCACACGACGCATAGCTCAGGTGGCCTGTGTCCGATGTGCCGTGCAGACTTGCGTCCCCTCCTAAAACGACCACCGCGTGCCTGCAGCCTGCCCCGCTTCTTGGGCATACATGCGGCATGTGCTTGTTACGAGTCGGGACCATTCGTGCTGGACCTGCGCAGTTGCTCTGGGTGTATCTTCACTCGAGACTATGCTGCGCTTGCATCAATACAACAACGAGTTCAAGCAGCAACTTTTACATGGAAGAAAGGCCAGTTTAAACTGCAAAGCTAGCGCCAAGAGCATAACTCAAAGTAAAAATATAGTTCTATCATGTTCTAGCTACCGGGAACCAGCACAGTTCTAGGCAACAGTCACTGCACAGCGGCAGCAGCAGCAGCAACAACAACAACAAGAACGACAACCGCTCCAACCCTAACCTGAGCTGCAGGTTCAGGGCCCAAGCCTCTCTCCTGAGTTGTCTTTCAGTTGGCCTTCTGTCCAAGATCCAGACTGAGGCTCCAGGCGCTGTGGCTCCGTCGCCTCCTTAGGATCCCTCCAGGCAGTGCTTCCCGAGGCCCTCGGTGGAAAGAAACAAAACAGCTACCGCTACTCCCACTTTTGCTACTGCTCCTGCTGCTCCTGCTGCTGCTCCTACCACTACCACTGCTGCTACCACTACCACTGCGACTACTACGACCACTATCACTACCACCGCGACGACTGCTCCTGCTCCTGCCTCCTGCCTCCTGCTCCTGCTCCTCTCCTGCTGCTCCTCCTGCTGCTGCTTCTGCTGCTGCTGCTGGCTGCTGCTGTCACTACCTTCACCACCTCCGCCACCACCACCACCACCACCACCAGATTGCGATTTGTCATTGCCCCTGCTAGAAATTGTTGTTACGATACTTTGTTTACGGATTGAAGGCTTTCTGTAGCAACTAGACGAGCTCAAGGCCAGCTTTGATGGATGTGCGCTGAGCTTTCGCAAATTTGGACGTTATGTTGAAAGATGCATCCACAAAGACCACAGGTAAACAGCCGCACAGCAGAACAAACTCCAGGAGCTTTACTTCGAGGGTCGCACGCCATGGGTACATTTTTGAGTTGAGGTGCTTTCACACGCATTTATGCAAAAAACTGACAAAGAAGCAGTAAAAGGAATCTCACCTGTAACGCTTTCAACGGCTTACAGCCACACAATACCAACAAAACACACACATGAGAGAGAGAGAGAGAGACACAGATCGAGCAAAACAAGAGCACTGAAGAGAGGCAGAGAGAGAGTCAGAGTAAGAGACAGGAGGGTTAGAGGTGGTGCGCGGTTGCACAGGGGGGTCTTGTTTTGACCCAGCAGCCGATCCATTTAGTGTGTTTGTTTCTGCTTTGCTTTGTGCTTTGTCTTTGGAGACGTTTTCGCCTATGCCCACGGCCTATGCATAGAGTCTCGCGTCAAGTTCCTTTGTCATGGCCAGCTGTGGCAACACATACCTGGCGTCCAAGTTCTTCTCAAAAAGACTCGGAGCCGACTCAGACTCCGCTTGGCTTTTTGGAGGCACTGCCTGCAAGGCGGCATACTGGTTTGCAGATCTTCGGCACGTCGAGACAGAGGCGCTGACGCCTCTGCCGTGGCCATGGCTGCAGAGCAATTTTGTCTAGCCTGTCCTGGCCCAAGCACATCTAGAATAGGACACTGGCCAACTAGGTATTTGCGTCTCGATGGGGCAGTTTTCCATGGAGTGTCAGGCTGGGTGGTGTGGGGTTTAAGGGCTCAGTTGGGTGAGATGCTTCGAGTCCGGAGCTCGAGGTTGATCCAGTCTCCCGGCACCACCTTGGAGCGTCGCGGTGGGAACATATTTCCAGAAGGCCGCCTAAACTGGAATGGAAGCAGTTTTCCACCAGAGGGCGGCTACAAGTCCAGGTCTCACCCCATTTTAGTTATCTTATGACCACTTCTCTGGGCCCTGCAAGAGATCCCGGCACCCCGATCCCAATACACTTACCATGGCCAAAGTTGCTTACGGACAGGACAGAAAGTCTAATTTGCAAAGATTTCGTATCGCATTGTCACGAGGGGTGACAGGAAGAAAGCAAATTAACAAGAGCTCGCAGAAGGCGGGGCCCAAGCTCTTACAAGTGATCCGAGACATGCATCGGACCTTGCTTGTTGACCCGCCAGCGAAGTCCAGCTTCAAAATGTTCGGGATGGCAGGAAGGGATCAGAATTTTGTGCGTGGTTCGTGTTCAGATCATTTCAGGGTTGCAGTCGGTTTTCTAGTCTGCGATTTTCTGACTGGGCCCCTCGTGAGGATACTGTGGCATTCTGTGGTGTAGCTACAACAGTAAGCCGCTCTTGTTCTCGAAGTCCGGAAATGTGCACCAAATGTACAGCACGGTAGCGCAGTGCTTCTGAGTGAACACATGGGGTTGGCACCCCAACCTGCCAGACTCCTTCGACATAAACAGCGCCGTTTCATGAGTTTGGAGGTTGAGGGAGTTGATGTCAAGACTCAACATGCGCAGGTGGCCGCAGTTCTGCTGCTTAGGGGTGCTGTTCTCAGGGACTGGAGAGGTGTTTTGCTCTTCTCTGATGTGGACAGGACTTCTTTCGTGGCAACCTGTCCGCGGAGGAGCATTTCATCTTATTCTAGATCTACTGACAGACGATTCAGGTCGGAAGAGTTAAACGGTGGACATGACTCAGCTTGTTGACTATATAGGAAAACTGCGGTACCGAGGACCGAGCCGGCAGGTGTGAAGCACTCTTCAGGTCACTGAATCCCTTTCTTTCGGGCTCTGTATCGGGGCTCAGGCTTGCTACGAAAAGATTCGCAGACCATCAATCCTTCCAACCGCTGTGGCTTTGCATCGGTGTGAGGAGTATATGATGAGAACCTGCCAGTGCGTGGGTCCCTCAAACACGCGCCCTGGAAGCATGCGACATCTCTGTCAATCTTTGACTTTCTGATGCGCCCTGCGAGCGATCAAGTTTGGACTGTTTCAGGGTCTCTGGATGGATGTTCAAGGGCTTAGTGATGCATTATGCCGTATGAACGGCTTTTCTCGGACTGCTTCGAAAGTTCACTCCTGCTTGTTGCAGTTGGTGCTAACTGGTGATGAAGCTGCTCTGGGCAGGTGCACTCTTTTGGCAGCTTTGTGGGAACTTCGGTGATGGGTGCTAGGGTTCAGTTCATGCCAACGTCTTACGTAAAGGGACTACTGCTCGGAAGTGCCGGTACAAGAGCTTACTCAAGTTGAAGAGACGACTGAGGACCACTGCGTTCTTCTATGCACCTTGGCTGCACCTGCCGGATGACAGGGTTCATCTGCAGGTCACGGAGTGGTCGGACAAATCAAAGTGCCCAGCAATGCCTGCAGGCAGTTTCAGCTGTGTTTTGTGAAGGGCTCATGCTGGGTCTGAAGATCATCGCTGAGTTTTGAGAGGTCTCTTTCGCGCCCCGAGGTTCCGGAGATGAAACACATGCCGTCGCTGAGCCGCACTTCACCATAGATTTCTGGGACTCTGAGCTTTGCGTTAGATGGAAGGTTGGCTTCTTTGGGGCATTACAATCTTTCTGACCCTTCTTTTGCGCTGAACAGGGCCTCTGTGCGCTAGGGCTAGGGCACCTGCGCCCTCAGCTTTGTAAATACAAGCCCCATCCTCAACCTGAAAGTCTGAGAGTTTGCCCAGACCTCAGACTGCGCCGACGCGCCGATGTTCCCAGGCAGGACGCGGTGATTCAGGCGACTCTCGGCTGCCTGGTGGAGGCGGCTTTGGATTGGTCGAAGGCCGCCCTGCTCTGTCGGGTGTGGGGTTGAGGGCTGAAAGCTCTACTTAAGGTCAAGGAGTCAAGGTTGTGGCGATTGCGCGCATCTTGTGGTTTATAGCATATAGTGTATATCTAATTGGACGTAAATGGGGAAAGGGGCGAAGGATGCAAAAAGAGACGGACGTGAGGTGTTGGGTTTGGGTGTAGTCATCCGTGAGCCGACAGGGCTTCAGGATCCTTCAAGCTGCTGCCAAGCTCTGCAAGTCATGAGCTCCGACAACCTCAACCCTCGACTTCAAGACGGGTCTGACCTCTCCAAGGCTCAATACATGAATAGCAATTACAGAGCTGATGCTGACTGCAGCATAGGTAGTGTTATTGCCGTCAGAATTTCCGCAATGGAGTCCTCTGCACACCTCAAGCTGAAGAAAGCGCTTCGAATCAGGGAGGGCTGACCGCTGTCATGAAGCATCTCGGGGAAGCGCAGGAGGTGCAGAGCTTGGAATCGAGGTAGAAAAACTCACGGCCCAGAGCGATACTTCGCTATGTCCATCTGAATCTAGCCTGTTTGAGTGTCGTTTGGACTCCGCAGGTACTTAACGGCTTTGGCCTCGTTGGGTCAGTTGTGAATCGAACCTTGCGGCTCCGAGTTACGGCCAGGGGATGTCATAAATGTTCTTGATCGGGCTCCCAGATTCGAGTCTGGAGCACGAAGCTTGCGATGAGGGTGCCTGTCGGGCTTTGAGGTTTTGTTGGCCGTGGTTTGTGAGGATCACTTGTGAGTTAAGGTTCAGCATTCACCCTCGGAAAAGGGCGGCTTGTAGTATGCACGCGCCCTGTTTAACCCTTGACCCAGAGGCTTGAAGTTCATGCAAAGTTTCTTTCGGCTATGTGAGATGCGAAGGCACTCATTCGCATCGGGTTCGGCGGCGTCCTGCGCTTCACCACTCAGTCGGGTGAGGGACTCATGGGCTCGGAGAAGTTGAGGCCGTGGGCCGAGACTTCGGGAGTTTGGGTGTTTGGCTTCGGACTGTGTCAAACTTGATGTTTGAGAATTGATCGGGCCGTTATGAGCATCCAGGACATCTCACGAATCTGGGTTGGAAGGTGCGATTGTTCCTTGATTACCATCATCATCATCATCAACATCATCATCATCATCATCATCATCCGCCAGTCTGTGTCGAGGAAGCATGACCGCGAACTGATCTCAACTAAGCTCTTTTGGTCTTCGAAGCGCAGGGTTCGCGAAGGTTTCGGACATGGAGTTAGCGAAAGTGGTTTCGAGTTGCGACAGTGGCTCCACGTTCGAGACTCGTGCAAGCGTACTACTCGTAGATAGCACAACTGGAGAGTTGTTCTTCTCTGCGGGAGTCCAGAGCTTTGGGCTGTGCTTCTCGCTTGGACGTCCAGCGTCATCACTCTGCGGCGTCGTTTGCCCCGCTTCGACCCAGGATGGCAAGAGCAGCGATTCGGACCACAGGTTCCTGCCTGCGTCCCAGACCGCTTAAGGCTTCTACTCCTCGGCCGCACGATGTCTAAAATAAATGCATGATATGGAACGTTTAGTTTTCGACGGCTAGTTGAAGAGTGTGCAAGGCTTACGCTGCTACTCTGCTACTTCTGCTCCTACTACTACTACCACTACTACTCCTCCTCCTGCTGCTGCTGCTGCTTCTGCTACCGCTACTGCTACTCCTACTACTACTACTACTACTACTACAACTACTACTACTACTACCACCACCACTACCAGCACCACTACCACTACCGCTACCACTACCACTACCACTACTACTTCTACGACCGCTACGACTACTACGACCGCTAGGACTACGACTGCCTCTACTACTGCTGGTTCTACTACTACTACTACTACTACTACTACTACCACTACTACTACTACTACTACTACTACTACTACTACTACTACTCCTACTACTACTCCTGCTGCTGCTGCTTCTACCACCACTGCCACCGCGACATGCCCGACCGCCTCCGCTACCCAGAGCACTAGCACTAGCTAGCACCAGTCCCCCTGCATGGACCGTTCGCAAGTTCGCTGCCTGCGACAGAGTCCTTATTCTTTAAGCCTGTTGCCAAATACTGACCCACCTGAGGATCGTCCTCCAGCGCCACTGTCACCTCGTGCACCCAAGCCCTGTGCCAAGAGTTGCGGACAAACCGACGACATGATTCCAGGGTTCTGAGCTTTTCAGCGAAGCATTCATGCACACCTAAAAGCCTTCTCTCGCGGAAATTGGAGCGAAGCTAACTCATGATGTGCTTTAGTAGTATTTATGTGTTGACCCTATTGTGATCTGCTTACCTTATGGTCCTTGTAATGATGAGTTTGCTCCTTTCCGAGGCCTCCCCGGCCTCCGTGCCCTCCCGGCACGGCCGTTTCTGTCTTGCCGGTATCTTCGCTGCGGTTGAGCTGCCGAGGATTGTTGTCACATCTTGGGGTTTCGGATCCTTGGGAAAAGTTGGACTTCCTAGCTATGTAGAGCTACGAAGAGCAACATTTGTTTCGCGTTTGCACCGCAGTGCCCCCCGGCCCTTCGTTGTCGAGTTTCAGCTAGGCTGACGTAACTGATCAGTGTGCTTAGGGGACGAGTGGCCGTGTCTGCACGGACGCACGTAGGCGGTTTGCCTTGAACCCCAAAGCTAAGGTGGATTTAGCCGTCGAGGACAGTCCAGAAAGTGCCTTGGCCGGGAAAGTTGACAAGAACGGTGCTCTTACCCGTGCCAGGCAAGCTTTCGAATGCAAACTTTTGACCGGCAACGATGTCTTGTTGCAGCGAAGCACTCACCTGAAAGGCAGCACGCAAAGGCATGGTTGGACTGGCTCCCGAATTTCGAACTGAACCGGCTGCACCGGAAAATCTCTGTCTTTGAGAAAATCAGTGTCGCTTGAACCAGATCTTTTTGACTTAACTCAGAATTCAACAATGAATGAAGGGCTGTCCCAGCCTAGGCCACCAGCGCCTGGCTGCCCAAGCGAGACAGTTGGCGGCTGCGCGGCCAATTTCTTCCTCCGGACGGCTTCTCGGGAAATGCTGCACTCTGGGTCTTAAAATTCAGTTTTCAGGGATCAAGCCGGACCTGTCGGATGTTTGAACTATGACATGATTACAAATCTAGCTTGGGTTGTGGACTATGCGACTCGAGATCTATCTTACACTAAGCTTGGAGGAAAGAAGGCCTCAGAAGTTGTTCAATGGTGTCGCTGTGCCAGCTTAACAGTGCCAATTGACGGGCAGCGTCACATCAACATGCACAGCGCACGATAATATAGCACGGACCAAATAAGCTGCAGCACCTGAACATGTCAGCCGTTGAGCTGAAGCCTGGCTCTGCACTTGGCTACGACGCCTGGGCCCGGCACTTGGGGCCTCTCACGGCGCTCATCAGTACAGGTCGAATACCCGATAGAAGGCTTGCGGATGCGGTCCATCGTTGCTGTTTTGATAGGATGTTTCGGGGTTGAGCCCCGCATTCCGTCACTTGTTGTCATGGCTGGATCTACGGTCCCGGCAGCATTGCGGCAGATGCCCTGCAGATCTTCACTTGCTTACCAGTGTGTCCAGAAAGAACTTTGCAAGTTTTGTAGGCGATCTCAACATCGTCCTGTAACCTCAGTTGGATCTCTGCAAGGAGACCCTGTGCGCTCAAGACTACTTGAGTTTGCAGACGGCCAGCTTGCGGAGGCAGGGCACCATGCTTGTGCAAGACGCTTTGTGATGTTTCAGATGCCTATGCTGTACGACGATGTACGGCTTCGCGAAGTGCTTCGAGTATCGGATGTCACCACGATCGTTGCCTTGCGCTTAAACGTGTCAATTCTCTGCACTTTTTCACTGGGCACATGCCTCCCTTCGCAAGTATCAACATCACTATGGCAAATTCTTTGGCTTCCGGCATTGTTGCAGATCCGCGATTACGAGGTTACACCTTCCGCCCCCCTCAGCTCCTTGTCGCCATGCACAGGCCTGGGCTGCCGAAGATGATGCGCCGAAGAGCCAGCCAGCACCGAAGGCCAAGCCCTGACCGTTTGGCTTTGAGGTTTGTCGGTTTCAGGGTTCCGAGACTGGCCGACTAGCCTTCATATCACCCCTCCTGTAGCAGCCGAAGACAAGTTATATGGAAGCTGCTGCAACAGTTCCGTGCGTGGCCGCAGCCCAGACTGAAGCTTCTACGACACATGGTCTAGATTGACAATCTCCATGGACTCTCTGTTATCAGACTTTAAGAAAGCATCGCTACTTGGTTCGAAATTCGTCTTAGGGATAGGGCCACTGATGAACCAGGATCGCAGTCTTTCTATGTGTCGTCAATGGCTACATGATGTGTCTAGTGTATATTGTACTCATTTGTGTGTGTGTATATATATATATATGTATGTACACACATTATATATTTATATATATATATATATATATATATATATATATATATATATAGGTATACACATGCGTGTGTATAGACTATGTCTAAGTGTGTCGGTATGTAGGTGGGTGGGTGGACAGGTAGGTAGGTGGGTGGGTAAGTAGCTATCGGATGTAGAAGGCAGATGTCCAGGTGCATGTATAGGTGCGTGTAAGTATAATATACATGCATATATATATATATATATATATATATACATATGCACATTTATACACAAGTACACATGAGCATATTGACTGATGTCCCCTCGTCGGAGCAAGGCAGTGATGCCTCAACGCATGGTTGGCTACCCACCTGGAGTGCTGGCCTAAGACTACCGCTTCAGGAGTTTGGAGGTGTAATAGCGGATCAGGGCTTCGAGTTGGGTGAGTCGGGCGTTTTGGGTTCAAGATTTCGGCTGGAAACAGCGGGCTTATATGACTGCATGTTCAGCATAAAGAGCGTGACGGGAGTTTTGCAAGCCAGAAGTTTCACTCCCGAGTATCCTTTGTCCGTAAGAGTGTCGACCCATGTGGTCCTCCACCAGGAATCTTCCGACGTAGCTGCAGACATCAGTCTCGAAGCTGGCACCGTAAGCGTACAACCCTGGCAAACGGGCAAACCTCAAGTCCCAGAACCGAAAAAGAGTAACTCGTCCGAGGCTGGGATTTCCGTTGATCGGTCGCAGACGCGACCAAGGACGTAGGGCCACGAGCAGCTGTAAATCTCATGCAGGATTAGTTTTCCCATTCCGACTAGCGCCGAGGATGGGTCTGATGTTTTTGGGTATGATTCGGTATGACAGCGATTCACTAATTCGCGAGACTGGTTTGCCTCCTGCTGGCTTCGCCGCCGTGCAGCTTGAACGCCCTGATTTCCTACAGAGAAGACGTGCATCGGTGCTATAGCCTGGCTGAGGCAAGCAACAAGAAGTGTTCTGCGGTTGGAGCTTTCTGACATCCAATGCTGCGTTCAAAGGCAGTCTAAGCGGCTGCAGGGCTTGCGAGCAACTTGCCAGGATCACCTACCCGGGGGCGACTCAGCGGCCACTGCAGCGATGAGAGATCACGTGCCGGATCATCAGGCTCAAAGGTAAGCCGTTGACAGAGCCGTGCTTGAGGCGCTCCCTGAACCAGCAGAGCTGGCGCAGTGTCAGATCAGCCCAGCAGGCACGAAAAGAGCTGATTGACCTGCTGTTGTCCCGACAGTCAGGGTCCTCGTCTCGGAAATTTCAGGAGAACCAGTCTCGCTAACGTGCTAGGAGTATAGAAAATGCATGACGTTCGACGGTCAGAGCATTGTTGATCATTGCCAAGTCCAGTTTCGCCGTACTGACGATGCACAAGGTTTGAGCTTCGAAGAGATTGGGTTCCGATTTCCTGCAGAACGGCCCTGTGCTTATGCCTATATCTGAATCTGTACCTGAAGTTATACCGCTTGTACATTGATGTCTGCATCTACATCTACATCTTCATCACCCTCCCACTATCTATCTACCTCTCTAAGTCTCTACACTACCTATGTACCTATGCATATATAATAACCCTGGGTTATTAGTCTATGAATCTCTCGTTCTTTCTTTCTTCCTGTCTATCGATCGGTCTATCTATCTGTGCATCTATCTACCTAGCTGTCTATATTCTGCATATTCATCGTATCTACCTGTCTGTCTGTCTACTTGTCTACATATCTGTCTATCTATGGATCTGTCTGCCTTCCTCCCTGTCTGTCTATCTACCTGTCGTCTATCTATTCATCTATCCCGCTATTTATCTATCAATCTGGTCATCTATGTGCTTGTCGATCGCTCTATCTGACTATGCATCTGTCTCTCTATCTCTCTATTTCGCGACCCATCTACTCACCTATCTACCTACCTATCCATGTACCGATTTTTTGTCTATCGATCTACGTATCTATCTATCTATCTATCTATCTAATTATCGAAATATGTGTGCATACACAGACCTATATGGTAAGTTATGTGATTTATGTATCTGCTAAGGGTTCCATGGATGCAGGTCTGCAGAAAGGTATGTATGCACCTATGGATGCATGGTAATACATGTGTGTACGTACAGATGGACGCACGCATATGCGTCCGTCCACCCGTCTGTCTCTGCGTGTGCGTGTTTGTTTGTGTGTATGTCTCTAGACAATAATCACACAGAGACCCAGACATTTGCTGTGCCGCCTTATGATGTGTCTAAACTGGCCCCCGGTCCCCTCGACGCATCTTTGTCTCCATAGATCGACAGGACGGAAGGCCTGGGTGCAAGCATTGACTTTCCTAGGTACCATAGTGTCCAGTGTCCACAGCATCTACGCAGCATCATCGGCCACTAAGAGGACAAATTTGTGTGCAAGCAAGCCTTTGCAAGCACCTCTCGCCGCAGCCTTCGGTCTTTTTTTCCAAATTTTGTTTCAGTGCGCTCCCTGAGGGTAGTGCTGCACGGTCCGAGCCTCAGCGCTGGACATTTCGAGCTGTTCCCTAAAGTCGAACTCTAGCCGGACCCCGAACCTATGCCCAGTAAGCGCAGCCGTCTACATTGTAATCCCTGTGGCACTGTGGCATGGACCTCCGCCTGTTGCCAATCGTGTGAAGCTGCATATACGAGAACTTGACGGACGGTACATAAATAAGTGCATGTACTGCATAGATTCATTCGCACATGCATATAGATGTGTTACATGCTGTATGTTAAAACGTTGACATATGTGAAAGAATGCGTTCCTGCATGTATGCCTACATAGATACACACATGCCTATCAGCCCACCTGGTGCGCGAATACGTTTTTACGTGTATTAGCAACCTTGTATATATATATATGCATAAGTATATATATATATATACATAGGTGCACAAACATATGTGTGTATACAGCTTATAAATGCTTGTCTTGACACGCATATGTGCAGATGTTCATAAGTTTGGAGGTGCAGCTTTGTGTGTACGCAGGATATGTCATACATATGTAGATATAGATTTACGAATAGGCAAAGGTTGAGATAATGGCATAACTAAAGAAAGAAAGAGTGCCACACGCAGGTGCGTTCACCTGCACAATTTCTGCACAGGTGCAACAAATCGGGTAGGTATTAGTGTTCGCGTGAGTGAACATGTTTGTATGCATGTTATTTGCGCAAGCATATGAGCACAGCGATGGTGCATTTTTTCTGCACTAGATTTCGCTGCCAGGCTGCAGCAAAGCATGGCCCTGCGGTTTGCAACGAGAGATAGGGCACTTCGAAGTGCCACAAAAACTACCTTAGTGTATTTGCATGTGCAGTTGTATTCGTGTGCAGCTGGGTGTGTGTGCGTAAGTGTTGAAATAGATACCTACTAGTACATGTAAAATCATGTTCATACAGCACTGGTGCATGTATGCACGCATGTGTGGAGTATATAGGTAGGTAGGTGAGTAGGTATGAATGTCTGTATGTATGTATGTTGGTATGTATGCATGTGTGTTAGTGTGTATGTATTACGCCGGTATGTACGGACGTGCATGGGTATGTACGTGTGTATGAAGGCATGTACAGGCATGTGATGAAATCACATGTAATTAGTTGAGCTGAGGAGCCGCTGGGCTCCATACATACATGTAGCTCATGCATCTATATCTATCTCTCTACGACTCTTCGGCACACATTTGCACAGCTCTGGGTTTTGTCTCATGTGGAGAGCTCCTTCCAGGAGGTGCCTCGGCAATTCTTCACGGCACGCCGGCATGCTCAAGTCCATAGACCAGGAAGTCCGGGCACTCGTGGCTTTAGGGACCAGCGATTTCAGTCACCTACATGGCTTCGTCGCTTCGTTTGTTTGGGTGCAAGGGTCTTCGGGCTTTGGGGTCATTGTTTTCACATTCACATGGCTTCAGGCCAAGGTTTGGGTTTGGGCTTCGTCGCAGTTTCTCAGGCTTGAGGTGAAGAGCTTCGGGCCAAGTCAGCCGCAGGCCCTCGCCGGGGCGATCGACGTGATCGCCGATGACGTGCAGGCGGGTGCTGTATTTGTGATGCGGGTTGATCGTGCAAAGGCTCTGGTTGTCCGCTGAGGCGCTGAAAGCCACGGGCTTGCAGTCTGCTTCCGCACCAATTCATTACTGCTAGTTCTGATTTCATCACAGTTTAAGAGTCCCTGCAGCAGGGGTTACCCGACATTCGTTTACCGGTATGGAGTAGATAAAGAAGTGCACAAGAGTCGACAAGTGCTCCCAGCTTCCTGAAGGCCACGGTCAAGTCTGTGCGAGAGCAGGGAATGATGCGCACCCTCGGCGATGCGGTCGAGGCTTGGTTTCATGTCTTCCTTCCAGATTGAGGCCTCAGCATTTGGAAGCCAGTCGAGTGCCATGTGGGTGGGGAAAGAAGCAGTTCCCTTAGCGACACATGTTGAAATTGCAGTTAGCACCACCAAGCGTGCAGTCGCGGGCTTGGATTGTTTATTGAATCCTCCGTATTCGTAGTGTAGGAAGCCAGAGTGTCCAGTCTACTCAGTCTATGTCACCCGCGTTAGGCAGAGGGCCCAACTTCAATGAAGCCACAGGTTGGTCAAAACAGCAACGACTCTGGTATGCTGATCCATCCCCAAAGCCGTTGTTTTCGAACTCTCCTGCTACGTGCTACTGGTGCAACAGAACGAAGTTTGTAAAAGACAGTTCTCGGCGCTTGGCCGGAGGATGCTGGAAAGCTGGTTGCCAGCGGTGCCGGCAATGCTTTCTCTGGCATGCTGGGTGGCAAGAAAGGCGGCTTGATGCTTTGAAGGAGTAACGAAAGGTAGGACATCATGTCGATACGGATGGCTATGATTCTGATAACGGGGATATGGCGATGAAGGGGAAACACAAATCAACATGTAATGATGTCCGTGAGGCTGGTGGTTGTGGTGACAACGATGGTGATGGTGATGATGATGATGATGACCGTGATTTTGCTCAGGGTTTATTTGATGTTTAGGATCCAAAATCTGCTGCTGAATATGTTGATGGTGTGTTGAGGACGGAATGAGTATGCACTTGAAAGTGCAAACCAATATATGGCTCACAGTACTGACCTGGTGATGATGATGATTATGTTGACGACAGTGACAATGGTTGATACTGCCATGACGCTGACGATGGCGACGGAAATGATTGCTACCGCTTGTCAACATGAGGCTTCTAGCGCTTGTAGTACAAATCTTAAGTACTCCTTCTGCCTGTTCGGACGCATGAAAGAGTGAAGGAATGAGGTGTCTTGAGCATGTGCATGGTCCGGCTTTCATCCTTGTTCGCGAACGAAGCGATGTCAACTTCTCCCTTTGCATAAACCTGGAGCCTGGCAGCGTCCGCCTCTCAAAGTTGGCCAAAGGCTTCGGCGGGCTCCCTCTTGAAGGCATCAAGCAAGCAAGCAAGCAAGCAAGAATTCTTGAAGCTTGACTACAAGGTCTTTATCACTTCATCTTCGTCCCGGGATCTCGTTCTCGCAAACTCCTTGTGATCAGGTGAGAAAACAGTCTCGACTCACTCTGGCATGTCCAGTGGCTATGCCGACATTTGCGCGGCCTGCCCGGCATGCTCTACGTGAGACTTCGGTTCAAGGGTGTTCGGGTAGTTAGGGAGGCTCAAGGTTGCGGGGTGCTATACAATCGTGGTGGGAAGTCCTCTGCGGCCTGGATTCAAAATCGCGCACACGGAGGCCTCACCATTGTGCACTTGATACCGGGGTTGGAGACCGCGGACCCTCACGCAGAACCCTGAACGCTTGGGCCTGAAAGGCTCAGGGATGCTCTGGGTATGGGCCGAGAGCTTGGACCTTGGCTTGCAATGCTCAAAAGATGTTAAGCTTTGGCTTTGAGAGATGTATCCTTTCAAGACACGGCTTCAGATTGCAGCAGCAGGGTTTAAGATGTAGCGCTCAGTGTTTCGGGAAGTGAGCTCAAGATCGTGTGAGGGGCAGGTGCAGGAGCAACGCGCAAGCACCTTGTTCTGACTCAGCCTCGGAGCCTCGTGCGGGAACTTCCCCTTGCCAGCCCCAAGCCCCAAACTCAAAGCAGACAGCGGCCAGCGCCAGGGCAACAAAGCT